CTTGGTTCGTGCTTCCTCCATTCTTATTTTAAACATTTTAAAACATGCTCATGGATATTGTTTTTCATTATGGAGCCTGCGTGCTCGTGTTGGCCCCGTGTGGCACTTGTATCCAAACTATGATTTCCGCTGCGTATTCAATTACTTATTATGTATGTTTATGGATGACCTATGTGTGAATGATATTCGAGACGCCTTGTATAATATGGATGATTTGGACTGCGGTTGACTATTCATATTGTACGGCGGATTGTTGACGTGTCCGGATAGGTCCGGGGTGTGACAATATAAGCTCCAGACGCAGTCATCGCCTAGCCAAGTTCCGGTGCACCGCCGTACGGCTTCTGGCCATTCAGTTTTACCGACCGGCACCTTCCTGTCCGCCGAGGTTTGTTTTGCTGTGATTGGATGTTCGATCATTCGGCTACACGCCACGAAGAAACGGGGGATTTGCAATTTGAAGAGGCGTTTGAAACCCTCTTTCCAATTAAGTTGTCACCTTCGGCATCTTTGGAGTCTTTGGAGGACGTTATCTCGATGACACGTTTTTTAAATTCAAAGCCACCCATGGGCCTGTTCAGCATTGGCGGTACATCCATAAAAATATCAAATAAAATGATATATTGATATTACTGAGAGATTAGTTAGTAGGGATTAAAAATATCCCGAATTAAATAATGACTGAGCGAAGCTCTGGTGATGACTTTACCGTCATTTAGATAAATGATTGGTTTTGGTAGGACCTATCGGCCTATCCCGATCGGCTCAAATTTGCTGACTGAAAATGTCTCGCAAAAGACGTTGTCTGATAACGTAATTTTAATTATGAGGATCATTCATGGTCCCGATCGGCCGTACGTACTTTGATTAGATAGGGCTTTTCTAAGAACGCCCAACAACCCACTAAGTGGTTCTGATAGCACCTGAGCAGTGCGAAAAATAAATCTAGGTCAAGGGTTATTATACCAATTCGGCCGGTAGTCGGAAATATTACACATGTGTGTATGTATATGCTTGTATATGTTGTTCGGCCGTACGGCCGTATTACTATGCTTATTGTGCAGTGGAATTCGTTCGATATGCTCGAGTTGGGAGATCCATAATGTTGACACGAAGCACAGAGACGTTCGTGACTGGAAACATAAAGAGATTCAGGCAAAGCTATTCGGTCATCTCGAACGGGGAGATCACGAAGCACAGAGACGTTCATAAAAAAAGAAGAAGCAGATACCAGGAAAGAAGTCCTACGAGATACCGTTTGGAGCCGTTTAAGATTCAGAAAAGAAGATAGAGATTCAGAAAAGGGGATAGAGAATTCAGAAAAGGGGATAGAGAATTCAGAAAAGGAGATAAAGAGTCCAAAGACATCCATGACTAGCAATCCGGACCCACCGTTCGGCACCTAGAGCAAGCTTCACGGGCAGGGGGCGCCTCCAAGATCCTCAGATATCCTTCATCATGGTTGGATCCTCCCACGCCTTTACAGAGGGAAGATGATCGTCTTATGCAGAAGAGAAGCAAAGCCGTTCGGTAGATTTGATCGGGGAGATCAGTAACCTAAGCACCATCTTATGCAGCACTATCGGCCCCTCAGCGCCATCGTGTCTAGTTCGCGTCCGACGATGGCAACGTAAGGACCATGGAAGCGTAAGTCCATTTCACTTCCGACGATGGCAACGTAAGCACCATGGCAATGACCATGGCAGCGTAAGTCCATTTCACTTTCGACAATGGCAACGTAAGGACCATGGCAATGACCATGACAGCGTAAGTCCATTTCACATCCGACGATGGCAATGTAAGGACCATGGCAATGACCATGGCAGCGTAAGTCCATTTCACTTCCAACGATGGCAACGTAAGGACCATGGCAATGACCATGGCAGCGTAAGTCCATTTCACTTCTGACGATGGCAACGTAAGGACCATGGCAATGACTATGGTAGCGTAAGTCCATTTCACTTCCGACGATGGCAATGTAAGGACCATGGCAATGACCATGGCAGCGTAAGTCCATTTCACTTCCGACGATGGCAACGTAAGGACCATGGCAATGACCATGGCAGCGTAAGTCCATTTCACTTCTGACGATGGCAACATAAGGACCATGGCAATGACCATGGCAGCATAAGTCCATTTCACTTTTGACGATGGCCACGTAAAGACCATGGCAATGACCATGGTAGTGCAAGTCCATATCACAGCAAGTCCCATTTTTATACGGCACGAACGGGCTCCACAGCACCGTCGTGTCTGGCTCTCGGTCGGGCTCGTCCATCCTTGATCCAGGATGGCGACCGCCGCTTTATGCAACACGAACGGGCTCCACAGCACCGTCGTGCCTGACTCTCGGTCGAGCTCGTCCATCCTTGATCTAGGATGGCGACCGCCGCTTTATGCAGCACGAACGGGCTCCACAGCACCGTCGTGCCTGACTCTCGGTCGAGCTCATCCATCCTTGATCTAGGATGGTGACCACCGCTTTATGCAGCACGAACGGGCTCCACAGCACCGTCATGCCTGAATCTCGGTCGGGCTCGTCCATCCTTGATCTAGGATGACAACCACCGCTTTTATACGGCACGAACGGGCTCCACAGCACCGTCGTGCCTGACTCTCGGTCGAGCTCGTCCATCCTTGATCTAGGATGGCGACCGCCGCTTTATGCAGCACGAACGGGCTCCACAGCACCGTCGTGCTTGACTCTCGGTCGAGCTCGTCCATCCTTGATCTAGGATGGTGACCGTCGCTTTATGCAGCACGAACGGGCTCCACAACACCGTCGTGCTTGACTCTCAGTCGAGCTCATCCATCCTTGATCTAGGATGATGACCGCCGCTTTTATACGGCACGAACGGGCTCCACAGCACCGTCGTGCCTGAATCTTGGTCGGGCTCGTCAATCCTTGATCTAGGATGACAACCGCCGCTTTTATACAGCACGAACGGGCTCCACAGCACCGTCGTGCCTGAATCTCGGTCAAGCTCGTCCATCCTTGATCTAGGATGACAACCGTCGCTTTTATACGGCACGAACGGGCTCCACAGCACCGTCGTGCCTGACTCTCGGTCGGGTTCGTCCATCCTTGATCTAGGATGACGACTGCCGCTTTTATGCAGCACGAACGGGCTCCACAGCACCGTTGTGCCGGATTCTCGGTCGGGCTCGTCAATCCTTGATCTAGGATGACAACCGCCGCTTTTATGCAGCACGAACGGGCTCCACTACCGTCGTGCCTGACTCTCGGTCGGGCTCGTCCATCCTTGATCTAGGATGACGATCGCCGCTTTATGCAGCACGAACGGCTGGCTCATCAGCGCCGTCGTGTCTTCTTTCTTCAGGCTCGTCGGTCCTTAATCTAGGATGTCGACCGTCACTTTTATGCAGCACGAGCGGCTGGCTTTACAGCGCCGTCGTACCTAGTGTGGGGGCTACACCTCACCTGTCACTTATGCATACCTTGTGTCCGCGAACTATTCGAAGACTAATTCAGGGATGGCAGGAAAGGATGTGAGCAAGAGTATACTTTCTCGAGTAGATTTGCAAGCTCACTACTCCAGAAACTGGGGGACTTGTGTTGGGGTATACTACCCCGGCCTGTTACTGTTCAGAGGCTCAAGACACCGCCCCAATACGGAGCGCAATCGGCGAGGTTCATTTAGGCTCGTCCAACCCATTTAGGCCGTTTCGGCCCATTAGTGTTTTTTCGGCCCGTTAACCCTTTGGCCCATTAGCCAACCCTCCCCCATTTCCTATAAATAGGGAGGAGGGCTCCCATTTGAAGGAGACAGCTTTTTAGCTCTGCATTTCTTCTTCCTCTTAGTTTATTTCATACTCCATTAATGGAGGTTCGATACATGTATTATGTAATTAAGAGATGAGAGCATATTAATGAGAAAGAGCGGGCTTGGACGTTAGTATAAAAAGTCACGTGGTTTTCTCCCTTAACGGGTTTCCACGTAAAAATAGCTAATTTATACACTTTTATATATTTATTCACTTTTATACGGAAATTATCGTCCCTAATATCCATTTCGGATCTACGTAAAAATAAATTCATACATATCTGATCATGATCATTCGTTGAAACTCACTTTTCATCAGAAATTTTAGATCCAAAATCGTATTTTCATTTTTAATAGAAAAAATTGAAATAATTAAAATACAGAGAACTGGAGAGAAGAAGAAAAGAAGAAAAGGAAGAAAAGAAGAACAAATGATTCAATTCCGTGCAAGAGATCAGCACGAGGGTTTTGTAGTTAATTTGGCGGTAGGAATCTGGAGGTCGGCAAGAGATCGTCCGCGGGGTGGCAGCGGCTCCATACGCATAGGGGTGGACTCGGGCCGGGCTGATTCCGGGTCGGGCCTGGGCAGGGTTTTTTTGGGGGGAAAGGGTGAACCAGAACCGGCCCGGGTATAAACCGGGTCCGGACCAAGCCCGGTCCTGGTCGGGCCAGGTTCTATGTTTTTTTTTTTTGCTTTCGAATTAACTCCCCCTCCCCTCCCACCCCCAAACCCCCCCAAAACACCCAGCCCTAACCAAGAAAAACAAAAAAATTGAAAAAATGTCCCGGGCCCGGCCCAGCCCGACCGGGCCGGTTCAAGGAAAACATGACCCGAGCCCGGCCCGCCCAACCCGCCCCAACCGGGTAAAAGCCCAGGCCGGTTCCGAGCTTGGCCGAACCGGTTGGGTCCATCCCTACTTACGCAGACCTGGAGTTTTATATTGAGGGTTAATTTTGTCAAGCTACAATATTTTAGTCCTAAAAAAGTCTTAAAAACATGGTAGTCTTAGTTTTGCATTTTTTCATTGTTTTAGTCCCATTTAGGGAATTTACCCTAAAAATATTCTTATAAAATGTAATTCTAAGGCCCAATCAAATCTTTAAAGCCTTTTTCTTCTTCAAATCAAGACCTTCCCTATCTCAATTTCAACCCCCAGATTTTCTCATCGAAGATTGCAAAACAAAGATGGCAATTCACAGAATAGAAAACATATACAGTCAACTTGAAACATACAGTCAGTTGGCAAAATTGAACTCCTTTACCAATTTGTTTGAAGAAACTTACTACAATCTATTTAGGAAATAGGGTCAGAAGGCATTGTTCACAACCAGTGAATTTGAAACCAATTTTTTTAGCTGCCATCAAAGAGGATAAAAGTTAAAAAAAAAGGTCACTGTCAGAGAGAATTGGACTTTGGATTAAAAACATGTCTTACTCATTGAAATGCCCAAATCATTTAAGCCTGAAATTGAATGACACTAAATGCTAAAGCGACTTCCTCTACCATCAAGAAACTGGTCAGTATGCCACCCTTTTGCCTGCAGCTCACATAGAAATGGAATGAAAACATTGTTCATCTTCTCGTAAGCCTCTTGCATGTTGTTCTCACTTGAATTATGAAATGGTGTTTCCATTGCTGAAGCATATGCAGCAACCAACCATCCCCTCAGTGCGTCTTCTCCTGTAGCATTATGCTCCAATATCATGTCCGTAGATCTAGGTCCACGACACAGCAGAAACTTTTCTTCAGGAAAAACTTCTTTAAGTTGTCTTAAATGTGAAGGCCGAACAACTTTGCTCAGATTTCTTCCCACCTTAACACTTCCAGCATCCTCTATTATCCGTCCAGGAAATAAGAGATCCTCTTGAAATCGTAAGTCAGCTGGGCTACATATTTTTCCTGTCTGGTTAAAATTAGAATCAATTAATATTTAGTTTAAAAATGAAGGCATGCATACATATCTCAACATGTCTGACTTGTGCATGAACCTTCACAAAGTTTTTCACAATCAGTGCAGTACGTTGCGGGTTCAATGTGTTGACCGGTGTAGCTTTCATTTCTTCAGTGACACAGCTGATATGTATGACGGCTAGTAGAGGTCCAATAACCATCTGCACCACCACCAAAAGAGGTAACAAGGTTAGCCACATGGACCCAGAATGTGGAGTAAGCTACTTTCTTCGCATTTGGTTTCAAGTATCAACACAAGTGAGCTTCTCATCACTTTACTTCTTTTAATCAGACCAGATTAAAAAAAGATTGTGCAGGTGTAGCTCTTAAGCCTGCAGCAAATAGTAAGGACTGCAACGAAGGTCAACAAACTATGTGCTATATTCCAACTTCCAAGCAAGATAATTGAACCAGGCAAAAAACATTATGGATGAGAAATATTTAGATAAGACTAGACTAGAAAGATGACCAAACAAGATGTTACAAATTCATATCAAATCACATTTTCAGGGAAAGAGAACAAGTCACAAAGACCTAAAATAGTAAAATGAATCCAATGTTTTATATGTATCACAAGGCAGAAAACGAATATACATTTTATTAATGCTAAAGGTAAACAACTGTACCTTTCCTTGCGTTGATGAACAAATAGTAGATGCTAACTGAATTCCAAAGCCAATTCCAAGAACATTAAACACTGTGGATATAGCTTCACCTTTTGCAAAAAGGTCACTAAGGTTGCCTTCTTTTGCAAATGATGAATATATCGGTAACCTTGTTGCTCTTGCTGCAACAACAGCCATTCCCTGGCAATACAAAATATAAAAAACTACCAAAAGAAACTTTAGACTCCAAAAAAATGAGTAGCAGATCCACAAATTTGAGTACAAATCAACATATACTTTCTATAGTTTAGGCAATACAAGGACCAATAGAGTATAGACAACAAAATGAGAAGAAGAAACCAAGCTCATCAGACATTTTATAACCAATTGTAAGTCAGCAACTAAGAGCTGAGAATAAATTGCAGTTTTTTTTTATAAAAATGAGTGATTCCCTTATACCAACGCATTGTTACCTTTGCAAAATTTCCAAGGCTGGCCATCTGAAGAAACAAATGAGGACATAAAGGGGACAAAACTTCTAACCCAGTACCGAAGTCATAGAGAACATCAGCTGCTAGGAAGAACGTGCATTCCATGTCAAAATTAGGATATTGAATATTGATCAATGCAAACAAAATACATATAAAATGGAATAATGAAGTAGAAGTAATATTGACAATTCGAATATATTTAAGAATGTGGAGCTATAGAAAGGCAACGAACCTAAAACTCGCCAACTTTTAGGCTCAGAGTCCATTCTTGCACCTAAGTTGCTACAAATAATCTTACCCACATGCTGCATCCCATCTTTGAGAATCTGCATATGAAAAAAAAATAACAGTTTCAGAAGAAAGTACCTTTGGGAGTTTATTTAGATCAGTATTTTGAACGTATTAAGATCTTACCCAACTCACGGCAGTTGCTTGTGCAGGTGTAGCTCTTAATCCTGCAGCAAATAGTAAGGACTGCAGCGAAGTAAGATTTCATGGAGACATTGTTGAAGTGGAGTGTGTGAGACAGCTAAGTTACATTGACATTGTTCGACAATAATTTTTCATTCTATATGATGAAATTACAGTTATAAACATGATGTAAAACTTGTCCAGGCACCATATTCAGTTAACAGATGTCCTTTGATTAATCTACCATGATGTAATATTAGTATAAAATCAGGTTATGCTTTCAAAAAACGCATAAGCCATGCTGTTGGGCTGTTGGCTTCATAGTTAGATAAATACCTGAGTTGACAGAACCGACAAAGCTGCACTGGAGAAGTGTTGTAATGCTCGGAACTGCGTGTATCTGAGATAACCCTCATTCACACTGCAGCATAAGCACATCATAACTTCGATGAATAGACTCTGATAAGAAAATCGCCCAAAAAAACTTACTGCGAGATTATCCTTGCAGTAAATTAAAGTATGCACCCAGAATAAACACTACTTTGGATGAGATGATCGCACCTATATGGATACCCTGAGGGGAAAAATTTGTCTACAAAAGTTTCAACCACTTTCTGCCCAATAGATCTCGAATCATCAACAATATTTACCTGAACAATGTAAAACAGTACTGTTGAATAAAACTCTGTAATATACTATGGCCGCAGCAGCAGCCACGGCAATTGTAGGATTGGGCTTCTTGAGAAAACTCAAGTAAACAAAATGCGTAGCAACTAGCAACAAAGCATCAGAAGAGGCTAGCTTACAGATAGCTGACCACCAGCTTCATACTGGAAGCGGCGAGACACGGAATTCGAGGTCTCAATCCAAAACACCTGAGTTTCCGGCGGCGGAGTGGTACCCTCCGCATCCTTCTTCGGCATCTTTACCTTCTCCTATATATCATTATCCCAAATGAAAAGGTCTCCGAGTGCAGTGGGGTAAAACTTCTGAAATGAAAGAGAACCAAAAAAATGGAGGACATGAATACCAGTAATAAGTTCATATTGAAAATTTCAGAATATAGCGGGTGCGCTCTGCCGGAGAAGACAGGAGCGGGCAGCAGCCCAAGGTTTGGTATACAGTTGATTGTGGGCCAAAAATAAAACGAAATTGGTTTTTGTAGTTATCTTTTAAGAAATTAGCCATAATAGGACTTAAACATGCTAAAAAACTCATATTAGGACTTACCAAGTTTTCTCTCGTTGATAGGACTTATACGGTCCTATCTTACGTTTTACTACTTTAGGAAATATCCTAAATATCCCTGTTCGAAGTTCGCTGAGATCGTTTACAGGCACCTAAAATTTACCAGCCTTTTTCGGTTATCCAGTTTGAAGCGGTTAAGAGTTTCCGTTTTCTTGTTAGTTTCCTTGTTCGTCAATTCTGCATCTTTTTCCTGCATTCGTCGATTCTGAGTACGAGGTTATAGCTGCCTGAGTTTCGTTCTTTTCAGGGTATGTTCACTTCAAATTTAAAGCTTTCATAATACTGGTCGTGATTCTGTTTCCGTTCGTCAATTGAGCATTCTTTTTCTGCATTCGTCAATCCTTCTGTGATTCGCTTTTTTCTGCATTCTTTTTCCTGCATTCCTCAATCCTTCTGTTTTTTCCTTCCAGCTCTGTTTTTTTCTTCAATTTCATATTATCGATCCTTTCATCATATGATCGCTTTCAAATTCGTTATAATCAACAATTTATTTCGTATGTCGTTGTACTCTGTTTTATTTCATTTAATTTCATCCGCTAGTTTAGATATCAGTTTGTTTCTACAATTTATTTTGTTTTTGTTAAATTCTCTATTCGTCTACCTAAATTATGCCCTTCGAACTGTCATTTTGTTTGTTCGAACTGTCATGTATATGCATTTTTTGATTACTCCTTTTTATGTTCTGTAATTGTATATAATTGGTACACATTCTTATAAATTGTCATATTGTTAACACAACTGTCATAATTTTGTCCAAACTGTCATTTAGTTTGTGCTACGTTCCTACCTGTATATGCATTTTTTGATTTCGCCTTTTTATGTTCTGTCATTCAATGGTACACATCCTTATAAACTGTCATATTGTTAACAAAACTGTCATTATTTTGTCCGAAGTGTCTTTTTTCATACTGAAATATTTCTTTTGCTGCATTTTTTTAGGAACCTTTTTACCACAATGGATCCTATTTTACTTGTTATGGTCAAGGTTGACGGTTTTTGGGATTCTAACAATGTGTTCAACAATGTCCACACATGTGGCCTTCATGTTAACTATAATGTTCAATATGCTTCTTTTATTAACTCTTTGAGTGACATCCTTTCTCAGTACAAAGCTAATCATAATTTCAGGCTTTCTTATATGCGAGATGGATTTCCTCCTCCTGTTACTATAAATGATCAATCTACCTTAACATTTTATCTTTATATCAAGTCTCTTCAACCAGATTTTTCATTGTATCCACTTTGTGTTGAGTTTTATCCTGTTTCATCTTCTCCTGCATTTTCTATTGATGTTGGACCATCTGCTTCTCCTTGGTCTGAAAATGTTGTCATTTCTTCACAACAACATACCCCTTATGATGAGAATGTTGTTGTTTCTTCTTCCCATGCTTCACAACAACATACCACTTATGAGAATGTTGTTGTTTCTTCTGCCCAACAACATTCCTCCTCACCTACACTTTCTTTTGATGATGGCCCACCATTTGGTCAATATGAAAATGTTATGTATCTGGGGTAAGTTGTGGCCAATCCGAAGATATTGTTTCTTGTGGTAACACTGTGTCTGCAACTGTAGAAAATGAATCATCTGAAGACAGTGATGACATGTCAGATGATATGTCAGATGGCCACAAGTCTATGAACAAAGAGATATAATATTATGACATCAAATTGTGCTGAGTCTATGAACAAAGTCAATGTCTGTGCTAGAGAGTATTCTGTGTCTAAACTTGTTGATTTCTTGCGTGAAAGGATGCAGCAATGGTTCACAGAGAGGAAAGATAAAGCTGAGAAAACAAGTACTATACTCACAAAGAAATGTGAGAAACGCCTGGTAGCTTTGCAAGCTGAATCCACACGTATGAATGTATGTCAAAGCTTATTTTTTGACTTTGAATACCATTAGCCCGTTTTCATTTTTTCATCTCCTTTTATAATTCCACTTTGTTTGTTAATGTGTCATTTTGTCTTTATAATTTTGTCATTTTTTGTACTTCATATTCAAATAGTCTTATTAGCGTTTTTATTTATCATTTCTCTTCTACTTAATATTCATATATAAGTTGACATTTTACATACTTCATAACCACATATTACTGCTATATTCTTTTGCTAATTCTCTTTTTTATCTACTTTCATATTCTTATTTTTTTTTATTTCACAGGTTAAACCATCATGTGCATATGAATTTGAAGTTGTTGACAGTAGATGCAAGTCCTTTGTGGTAAACCTCAACTCTAGAAGTTGTACATGCGGCCACTTTCAATTAGATCAATTTGTGTGTGTTCATGTTGTGGCTGCAATCGGTATACGCCCACACCTTTCATGTTATACGTACATATCTCCATATTACACAACAGATGCTTGGCTTGCTACATGGTCTGGTATCATGCATCCTATTGCTGATCTTGACAGTTGGTCAATTCCTGCTACTATTCAAAACCAGAGATGCAAGCCACCAAGTTGTTTGAAGCGTCCTCCTGGTCGCCCTAAGAAATGCAGGATTCCATCCATTGGAGAATATAGAGGTTCAAAACGTCAAAAATGTTCTAGATGCCATGTGCTTGGGCATAATAAGAAAACTTGTAGAAATCCAATTCCAATTAATACCCAGTGATGTAGATTTGTCCACTCATTTTATGTTGTCTTCTGTTTTTTTTGTACTTTTAACAATTCTACTATGTGGTTTGGACTTGGTTATCATTTCGTTGAACGTTTAAGGTTTTGTGCTTTAGCCATTCTTGGCATTTAAGTGTTTATGACTTGTGCTTTATCCAAATGTTTTATCCCAAATGTCATCTCAATAATGTAATGTCATTTTGTTTATGTATAAATGACATATGTGACATTTTATGGCATTTTGTATTCCACAAAATGTCATGTTACTTGTCAATTTGTTGTCATTTATTTACTACATGTAAATGACATTCAATCCTAGTATCCATCTACATGTTACTATAAAAAATGCTCTAGATAAACTTGCCAAGGGGACGTACGTCCCTTTAACAGATAGATTTTTTGAACGTAATTTAATAAAATGCATTGTCACAATGCATTGTCATAAAACATATTTCATACGTTTTGAATATAGAGGTTCAAAACGTCAAAAATGTTCTAGATGCCATGTGCTTGGGCATAATAAGAAAACTTGTAGAAATCCAATTCCAATTAATACCCAGTGATGTAGATTTGCCCACTCATTTTATGTTGTCTTATGTTTTTTGTACTTTTAACAATTCTACTATGTGGTTTGGACTTGGTTATCATTTCCTTGAACGTTTAAGGTTTTGTGCTTTAGCCATTCTTGGCATTTAAGTGTTTATGACTTGTGCTTTAACGAAATGTTTTATCCCAAATGTCATCCCAATAATATAATGTCATTTTGTTTATGCATAAATGACATATGTGACATTTGATGGCATTTTGTATTCCACAAAATGTCATGTTACTTGTCAATTTGTTGTCATTTATTTACTACATGTAAATGACATTCAATCCTAGTATCCATCTACATGTTACTATAAATGACATTAAAAGAAATATTTTTTAAAATAAAAAAGTACACTATTATACAATCTGATTAAGCAAATTTATATCCTCTTACCCATCATCTTGCTGTGGACATCCTTCTACAGGCTCAACTTCCAAAAACCTTTCACCCATAGGATCCTCACCCATCTGTTCGTACACTTTGTGCTAGTCCATTATTTTGGGCAGGAGGACTGTTATGCATGCAACATAGGACCTGATATCCCTTAGTGAATCACCTCTTCTAGCATTGGAGTTGTACACTCTTACCTTTCTTTGCTTGATATCTAGTACTACCAAAACCCAATGGTTGCCAGTATTCAGAGGGAAGTACACGAAGTCTGCTTTGCTCCAGCGTAGGCTATAGTTGTTCGCACCTATTATGTCACGAACAATATTTTCTTCTTGTGCTGACTTGTGGTATGTATAGTGCCCCTTTGATATAGTGTCAAGCTCCCGCTTCAGTATTTGCAAGAAAAAAGGCCCAGTTGTGGTGTAGTTTTGTGGCAGTTTGTAATGCACCCGTTTCATGCCCAAAAAGTACATTACTACCTCAACATGCTGTAAAAAATAAAACACACATTTAACAATTACAAACTAATTCAACTGACTTTGAATGGCATTCTATACAAACAAACATACATATAAATGTACACTTGGGAGTTAGACTGACAAAACTATAACATTTTTGAATTTACCTTGTCAGTGATCCATTCATGATTCGTAAACATGTCATATAACCATGTTTTTGATTCAACTTTCATAGTGTCTAGCAAGAACGGTTTGTGAACCATTTTTTCTTCTTCCACTTTGTACCTTCTGCCATTTTTGTTTTTTTGAAAATTCTTCAACAATCCAACTTGGAGGTATGCTCTCACCCTCTCTATTTCATGATCTGGTGGGCTCTCTGTTGGATCTTCTGTGAAAGGTCCAACTATTTCCTTCAGTGGAGGCAAAAATTCATTGTCAGCTCTTTTCTTACCCTTTTCTCTCTTCCTCCTCTTTGGCGAATGCTCAGATGGAGTGTACTTCACTGGTGACCTAGCAAAACGCTTTTGTTTGGGAAGATCCTCTTGTTCCTGTGGCATTTCCATAATATATATTATTTATTATACTTTTTTATATTTATTGAAAATGTATAAATACACTCAATGTCATACTAAAAAATAATCATAAAAATATAAGCATTATAATCAATTTGTAAAATATTTTGTCATTCAAGTCAAGACAATATTACATAAAATGTTTTGAGATTCATAAAAATCATATATACAATGGTGATATGTACTACAGAAGTCACCAATTTGTCAGTTTCATAACTTCACATAAACTGTATATCACATAACTTTACTAATTTGTCATTAATACTTCGAATGTCACTTTTATGTCAGTTTCATACCTTCCAAATGCTACTTGAATGTCATTTTATTTTTTTTAGTTACCTGATTAGGCTTCACTATGATTGTTGTACATGGATTGGAAGAATAGCTCTCAAAAGCCTTTTTCGCCACTTCATCTGCAGTTTTGCAAATCTCTTTGACAAATTGACTATTGTCCTGTGACCCCATCCCCCAACAAGATTCAGCAGTTTTGTCCATCTCTTGAGACTGACTCAATATGTTAAATGTAGGCATGTCACAAATTACATCTTCATTGTGCTCGGTCTCTACAACATCTTTATCTAGAACAGCATCCTCATTTTTTGCACCACCATCCCCAATATGTAAAATATCATCCTCAGTCTGTGCAGCAATGTACTCAGTCTCCTCTTGCACATGAATGTCAGTAGTATCATCATCCTTTAGCCTAGGTTCCTCATCATTCTCGTAATCTTGCTCAGTCATGTCATCATCTTCTTTTTTATTAACATTTTCTTCTTTTTCTGGACTTTCATTCTTTTCAACTTTCTCTGTTCTTTCTCTTGTGTCCTCATCTTCACCTTTATCACTGCCTTGTGACATCTGTTTGACAATAAGTAGAACTTCTTTTAAAAGATCTTCCTGCTTTTTTTGAGTTTGCTTAATGTTTTTCATTTCTGCCACTAGTCTGGCAGTCTCCTTAGCTTGTTTCCTCATGCTTTTTTGCATACTGTTACTATGTTTGCTCATGAACATAATATATTTCTCTGCTTTTCTTCCACTATCACTTGAATCATCTTTTTCATCCTCACTCTCAGTGCCTTCATCACTCTGTGTTTCCTCATCACTTTCAAATTTCATCTCAATCTTCTTTCTTCTTTTAGAAGTTCCCTCGCCAGATTTACCTTTTCCCTTCATTACTTTTCTTGTTTTCCTTTTCATGCTTCTAGTCTGTATTGCCTTTTTTTTGCCTTTTTCTGCAATAGCTTTCATCTTTTCAGCATCTAGCCTCCCCACATTTGGAATAACAATGTCCATTCCATGTCCACCTCTGTCATTGTTTCCTCCAATCATGACAATCTCTTCTTCTGTTGGTACGATCTGTGTCCACTCAAACTAAACAAGTACACTTTGTTAGTAAAAAAATTGTAATATTATAATCTAGATATATTTAGACTATTAAAACTAATACCTTGTCATTCTTGAATATTATTTGGGAAAGCACCTCCAGTGTAGGTTTTTTCTTGAATTCCCACTTCAGTGTCCTTGTTAAGATGTTTTCTCTGCCCTTTATTAGCTTGCACAAACCACCTTTTGCAAGTCCTGGGAATGTCTCAAATGCCCACCATTGTAAAGCCACCATGTACCCAGGGAATGTAACTCTGTCCCCTTTGCCTTTATCTAATGCCTCACAACTTTGTTTTATTTTGTCAACCAACTCGTTCCAAACATCATCATGTTCGGGAAAATTTTAAACTTCCGCTGCTGTACTTTCGAGGTACGTTACATCAATTTCCTAACAGTGGTATCAGAGACAAACTGATTCTAATGACATCATACGAATTTTGGTAGATATTTTCGTGAGATAAAATTATACTCTGTATAATTTTTTATCTTTATACTATCTCCCACTTGGCCTAGTGCCAATCACCAATGCGTCTAACACCTAGATTCTCAAAATGTCTAGTATGTTTCTCACAGCTCAAAGGTTTGGTGAAGGGATCAGCCAAATTGTCCTCAGTGGAAACACGTTCTATTGCAACCTCTCCTCTTGCTATCTGCTCTCGAATCACATGATAGCGCCTCGGCACATGTCCATTCCTCTTGTCGCATCTTGGTTCCTTTGCTTGTGCAACAGCACCAGTATTGTCACAATAAATGGTTATTGGATGACTATCATTTGGAACAACCCCTAATTCTTTGAGGAATTCACGTATCCATACGACCACTTTAGCTGCTTCTGATGCAGCAATGTACTCGGCTTCTGTTGTCGAATCAGCTGTAGTGTCTTGCTTGGAACTCTTCCAGTCTACTGTTGCTCCATTGAGATTAAAAACATAACCTGATTGTGACTTATAGTCATCCTTATCTGTCATGAAGCTAGCGTCAGAGTAACCAGATGCTATTAGTTTCTCTTGTCCACCATAAAGCAAGAAATATTCTTTAGTTCGTCTAAGATACTTAAGAATAGTCTTAACAACACTCCAATGCCGTTCTCCTGGATTATTTTGATATCGACCAACAATACTAAGCGCATAAGCCACATCTGGCCTAGTACAGATCATAGCATACATGATTGAACCAATTGCAGAAGCATATGGAATCCCTCTCATGCGTTTGATCTCATCATCAGTTGAAGGACTATCCTTTGTGTCAAATCCCTCTCATACTCACAAGGTTCATGACCTACCAATTAAAGATTTCAAATCACTCTAACATAATACTTTGTGTCATTAGTCTCAATAATGAATATGTCCATATTAGTAACAAGCCATATGCTTCACTTATCAAAGGTATGATTTACCGCTAAACTATATGTCTATATATTACTACGTAAATTTTATTGCAATAAATAGCATAAGTCCTTGCTTTGGCCTACACATGTACAACTACTTATATTTCTAAAAAAGTTAACTTTCTGCTTCATGTACACTTTGGTCATAAAGAACCTTGTTAATGCAATGAAAGTTGTTATTAATTTATTTATGCTCAAAGCACAACAATATTATTCCACTTTCTGTTAAAGAAGGATAGTCCTTCAACTGATGATGAGATCAAACGCATGAGAGGGATTCCATATGCTTCTGCAATTGGTTCAATCATGTATGCTATGATCTGTACTAGGCCATATGTGGCTTATGCGCTTAGTATTGTTGGTCGATATCAAAATAATCCAGGAGAACGG